TCCTTCATGGACCCTAGCTCAAGCAGCAATTTAACCTTTAACTGTTTAGAGTTGCAGTAAGATGATCTTCACATACTTAAAAACAAATTTAAACCAAAATGCTCCATGTCTAGTTTTGTATTTTAAAAAGGCAAAAAAAGAGGGGAGGAGGGGAATTTTATTTGGCTGCTGCCACTCAGAAATAACACAGTAAGGTAACTTGGGAGAATGACGACTTTTAACATGTTAACCACTGACCATGCAACATTTTCATCAGTGTAAATATAACTCCTTGTTACTCTGCCAAGGTTGCACTGAATCATACAACCGCCAGTGAAGTCAGACTTTCTAAATATTCTTATTTCACATAAAAACACACTAACGAAAGTGCTTTTAATTTTAGGTGGTTCTTCTTTCTGAAACACTGGCGTGTGTCACCCTGATAAACAGGAATGCTGGGAAAACTGATCATCCAAGGAAAAATCCAGTTAGTGTTCAAACAAGTTCTTAGGGTATTCGTCTACGGAAAAAGCCCGGAGGTATTCAAGGATTGGCATCAGCATATTTATATTTGCATTCTCCACAATTCAGTGTTAAAATATCCTTCATCACGACCAACATACTAATTAGAGAGTGCTCAGAGCCTCAGAAAGCTGCAGCAAGTTACAGGCTGGGTTATTACTTCATATTGCTGAGGAACATGATAACCCATAGTTACGAATGAGGACTCCCCCGTGACCAGATGCTGTACGATTTCAAGGCAACATCTCACAGACCTTAGATTTGAAACCAAAAGAATGAGTTAACCCAGAGCAGGTGACAGTAATTTCCCAGTTAAGACATTTTTCATCCTCTCAAGTGAACTGAATTGTGTACATTCAGTGTCCTTCTTTTGTATTTCAGAGAGAGCGCCCTTGCATGGTCTTGCAGCACGCCAAAGATCACGCGACATGCAACTACTGGCCCTTCAGGTCTTCACTGAAACACGGTTTGTAGCTCACACAGTTATTCCCTAAATCAAATATGAACTGGGGGCACCAGCATTTATGTTAATGAAGTGGTACCCCATTCTAGTGCTGTGTCCTTGCCTGGGGAGACAACAGTTCTTTGTATGTATTTCAGGCCAGAGTGGGCCACTTGTGTCACCTCACTTGAACTCCTACAACGAGAGCCAGAGACACCCACCTGGGTACTCCTGTCCTCAGCCCAGCAATTGCAGGTGAAACAAGAACAAGTAACATTTACATATATCTGCAGAAAGTGCCCAGGAATGTTGAAAGTTAGTACAAGAGGGGAGTATGGAACTGGCAGTTTCTTAACACCCAGTTTGTTCCAGCTTCCCTATGTCAGAACATATATTAAACCGATGATGACTGACTTTAAATCAGGCTCCAGGGACAGGGGACAGTGAACACAGTCCACAAGCTTTCATCACCGAGTTCAAAGTCCAGTTCAGCTCACAGGCAAAATGAGATTCATAGTCTAGCCTTAATTCCTGAAGCTTGGATACATTTTTTTAAAGTGTTGCAATTGCATAACAACAACGACTGCCAGAAACTGCGATTGCAACTTCTCCGATTGACTCTACTTGTACTATCAGGCCCCAGCTTGACATGTGGCTGAATAGCTAAATGCCAGATGAGAGGGAAGATGGCAGGGATAATGCAAATATTTTTATTAAGTTGTTTAAGTGTTTTTGACAGAACAACAGTAACATTATATCCTTAAAAATGCCAAACTGAAAATTGTCCTAAAGTTTATCTATCATACAAGATGCATTTAGTAACAGCAGCATCTTTAGACATAAAAATTGTGAGGTTTATCTTTATTTCTAACATAAACTCGATAAACAAAAGGAAGGTACGTAACTACAGTGAGCACACCGATAACTGGACAAGTCTGGGAACCACTGTTGGGCCAGTTGCAAAGATGTGAACTTACAGAATAATTTCTATTGCCAAACAGGGAGCTAGCTTTCTCTTTGAACTTCAGGGGAAATGAGGATAAACTAGTTATTATAAAAGATGATCATTTAGTATCATCATAGCACTCTCTAAAAATCTAACCAACAAGCCAAAGCATGAGCTAAAGCTAGTTATTTACTTCCAAAAATATAACTATGTTTAGCTCCAAACAAATACTTCCACATACATGGCTGAAAAAAGATCAGAAGGTATAGCAGCTATTTTGAAACCTGCATTTCCATCAAACATCTTAGTTTATTTATATATTCCCCACTTTCCTTGAAGTATTGCCCACACAAGCAGCATTTCCCACTTTGGAGAATAACCATTAATTTCACACCACAATGTTTTTTCTAGAGATATAATTACACAGAAGACAAGTATTCTTTATTAAAATATCTGAAGGCACGTCAGGTAGTTATGACTGGTAGTTATTCAGGAGCATAGGTCTTCTTTTCTTTTTTTCTTTTCTTTTTTTTTCCCCTTTCCTTTCCTTGTTTGCCAGCTAATAAGAGCTTTGGAGATGTATAGGAGTGACTTGATCCCAATGCATTTTTAACATTGTAATGAATGACACAGTGAGGTACAGAATAATCAGGCTGAAACTGTTCTGTGCAAGACAACGGTTCTAACATACGCTTGACATCAACAAATGCATTCTCCCAGGGCCTGGCACACTATGAATGAATTGTGACATTTTCTTACGATTAATTCTTTTTAGATAATCTCTAACTTCTTCCTTCTACTTGTATTTTATATGGTAATTAGGATATACATTTTATGAATTGTTGAAGCTCCTAGCACCCCCCAGTTGGGAAAATGACTTATTCTTATGGACATAACTACGTCCAGATCCAAAAGCCTGTCTCAAAGCAGCATATAACTAAATCTATTCCTAATGTTCTTCCTGTTGTTTTTTTCAGTTTCTGCTTTCATCCTACAACTCATGTTATTTCTCTTCTTTTGCCTCTTCTGATAATACACCCAATATAACACGCCACTTACAATTCTAGTGTTTTACTGTAGCATGCCAAAAACATGTCAGCATAGTCTCTGAATGAGAAGTTGAGAGTATCTTGCAAAGTTTAAATTACAAAGCATTGTCTCATTAGAATGACATTTCTCTTGGGATGGAAGCATTTTGACTATGATAAAAAGTCATAGAAAGAACGCAGGCACACGAAGCGATTCAATGCAGCTAGGAGCCAACACACAGCAGAAGCTACATACACGATGAGGGGAAAGAGGGAGAAAAGAGGGAGCCAACACACAGCAGAAGCTACATATAAGACGAGTGGAAAGAGGGAGAAAAGAGGAGAGGAGAGAGAAGGGGATGTGTGTCAAAGGATGGGAGTATGGAGGGAAGAGGGATAATGAATGCATATTCATATAAAGAAGGGGGGAGGTAATTTTACCAACTATTTCTTTTCACAGAAATCACTAAACTGACTGCTAATTACAAAGTGCCTAAACTCTAGTTTTCAGGAAGAGGAAATAAGCTCAAGTCTTTTTATGGAAACCAATCCTCAAAATCCTTCACTTTTCAAAGCACCAATCTTATCTGTTTCCCTTATGATGGTTACTTAGGAAATTCTGAAGTTGCCACCTTCTAATATCTAAATGTACAAATACATAGCTTTGAAAATAAATGCAGACAAGAATAGGAAATGTTATATGGGCAGCAAAGCTAAGAAAAGTGTTGCATCTTCAGCACTTGAAAACAAACCTACACAAAGTGGTAGGGCCTAAAGTCCAACCCAGCATGCAAACATCACACCAGTGTTAATAAAAGATGGAGATTAAGAGCTGCAGCTAGCAAAAAAGTTTTCTAAAGAAAACTGGATTTTTGACTGAAAGACCACTTTCACGGAGATTTATTTTCCTGAGAAATGCAACGTCCTGCTGTTTGCGATGTCTCTGAAAAGGAGACTCCCTCTCTGAGAAGTTTCTCTTTGAATCCCAATTGGTGGGAAAGCCAATGACCTCTGATGGAAGTTACCACTCAGTCCTGGTTACTAAACATTTAAAATTCACTTCTTTCAATTTGTAGTACTCTTGAGAGCAGCCTTAATACGAACCCAGGGATGTGACGAATTCCACATCCTCATCTTGATGTTTCTGCTCAAGAAACCTGAGATTGCCTGTCCCTGAGATGACTACCCCAAATCAAAACTGATAACCTGAAAGAGGGTGAGAATATCAAGAGAATATCAAAACTCAGATCCACAGAACTCAGAATTTTTAGTAGACAGGACAGACCTGTATCACAAAACCTGTAAGGCACTCTGCTTGCGAAAGCCTGAATTTATCACAAGCAATAACAGGCTGCTAAAAACAGATAAAAAGAGAGAGGAAGGGTGAAATGACAAGATAAAGGACTTAATAAACACACTGACATCATGGTGAAAATTTTCAAAGTGATTCCTTACTTTTAATAACAAAAGCCTATCCCTAAATGCATTCTTCAACACAGCGCGGCAATATGCACTTATATTGTGCGTGTGCATGGGTGTTGAAGATTAGAGATTTGGGTAGTGGAGGTTCAAATAGATGCGGGGCATTTGCAAGCAAATCAAAATTGTCTGCAAAGAGCCACTTCCTGCTGGTGACTACGCCTTCACCCAAACAGTCCAGGGGAAGGGGCATAAGTAAAGCATTGCAAACGACCATCCCGATTGTATCAGAGTGGAGACAACTAGGACAAACAAACTCAGGAAGTGGCAGGGAGTTAGAAACCGAGAGGAAATCTATGGCACAGAGAGGAAAGTGAAGAGATTGCGCCGACCTGCAGAAAGGTCACCTCTGGGTCGCACTGTGCCAAGCTTTTTCAAAACCGCTTTATTTGGACTATAATACAAAACTGGCACACACAGCTGGCGACTGCTGCAGAGGCTATTCAAATGTTAACATTCTCAATGATAAACAGCCAAAAAAAGTTCTATGTAAGCAAACTGGAACAAACAACTAATCTAAATCTGGTTGCTAAGAGACAGAGGATTTCAGCCAAAACCAGCCCCAAGCCTCAAGAATACTTTATTTTTGATTAAAAAAAAGTACCTGTAGATGACGCCATGTTGGTGAAGAAACATGAGTGCTGATGTGACCTCTGCTGCATAAAAGCGGGATCGAGGTTCGTCAAATTTGCGTGAGCGCTGGATTTGAAACATTAGGTCTCCTCCATTTACATATTCCATGACGAAAAAGAGGCGGTCCTGAAATTAATTAAACAGTGCTATTTAGCTAGTTTCTTTTAGTCACACAAAGGACTGCTTGAAGGTACATTTTAGGTGACTGCAGCATTTGCGTCAAGAAATGAAAGAAACAAATGCTACAATTCTGAAAAAGGAAAAGCTGACAACCCAAATCCCCCAAACCTGAAGAAAATGAGATGAGTCTCAAAGTGAGAAATGAGAAAAAGAGAATAGAATCAAAATGTAGTAAGAAGCAACACATACACAAATTTCCACACATCAACAGATACACGTGGAATTATAATCAATTTTTATATAATAACGGAGACACTTAAATGGTGCCGTTTCTTTTAATGGCACATATATAGCCATAACAATGAAGAAACAAAGTAAATTCTGTCAATTACCGACGGGCTGCTGGGCAAATTTCAGGCTCCTTATTTCTTCTCTTATCTCTTACCAGCCACTTTGTCTGCAAAGTATCTTTCCCAAATTATATAAAAATGAACTAGAATTGTTAAGCTATAGAAACCAGTGCTGCCAAACACTTATATATGACTTTTTGAATTGCCTCAAACTCTCATAAGACAATGAAATATAATTAAATTATTAAAATACATATCAAGTTCTTTTTATTTTCTTCTGATGCCTATCACTTCAAAGGTCAAATTTTCAATCCTTATTCTATGACGGAGAACTAGAAATGAACTTTCCTTGAGAACAGCAACTGAGATTCTCAGGTACTCACCCCATTTTGGTGCGTTTCAGAAAAAAAAAAATCCAGAAGTTAAGCACTCAGTGAAATAGTCAGAACTGAGAACACCAGTAAATTAAATGTGTGCTTGGCATCTTGAAACGTTTATGATCTAAACTGACAATGCAGATGGAGGCATAAGCAAAGAAATGACACACACCCACTTGATATAATTTAGATCCTATTTTTTGCAAATGTTTCTTATAAATTTTCATAGTTTCCCCTAACCTGTACTAACAGCCCTAAATAATCATCGACTCTTTGCCCATTCACCCTTGGTTTCTAAGCCTACTTCCACATTCTTTATTTCCTTACTGTAGAATATCTACATCATTATGCACATGAGTTTAGACAGAGGTGGAGGTAATTCTCATGTGACGTGGAGAATGGATCTGAGCATATACTTCTCGCTCTGCATTAGCTCACATTTCATTCTCTGGTCATATGATACACATGTGTAAGCATGGGACTTCACTGAAGGGAGCCCCTCTCCAACTTCCATGTCAGTTTGGCTCCGGCTCATGGTGTCTCATGTGCTGGGTTGAAGAAAAGGAGTCGAGATGCGGCATTGCTTTGGACGAGCAAAACCAAGAGAAGATAGAAGTTAATTAACCTCCCACAAGTGAATCCAAGTCTGCAGATTACATAGTTTATATATATGAGTCCAGAAATTCATAAATGCTTACTATTTGTCTTTAATCATCTATGCTACGGCTCAGATTCAAAGCATAGCACTTAAAAATATCCTTAAACCTAAGCATGTGCATTAATACTGCTCATTAAGTGCCTAAATGTTATACTTATCAGGGATGTTTCCTGGACGAGGCTACAAATGTTTGGCTGACTTTTTGCTGATTACAGAAAGAGGATGCAGAAAAAAAACTTTGTGCCTTTCCCCCTGTATCTTGGGAACAGAGAAACTGCCAGACTGGATCAAATTCAGGATCCCCGTGGACTGGCATTCTTGGTAAAACACTGGTAACAACTTTGTTACGTTTTCCAACGTTTTTCTTACCATTCCCTAGTAAGGAAACCCTACTAAAGAATAGCATCAAAGCTTCTGACTGTATCATACACCCAAAAGAGCACGGCTTTAGAGCCATGCCTTTGTTCTTTTTGCAATGCTTAATACTGCTGATAAGAAACATTCAAAATCATAGTGCAGATCTCTCAATGTTATTGTAAGCTTTAAATATCACCTTTGCTTGTTTTAAGCAAAAATATGGGTCCTTGTGCTGTCTTTCTGATTTCTCTCTCGGATCAATGAGAATTACAGCCTTGCTTTTAAAAGAAAATCTGATAGCTCTCAGATGGTCTTATGATTTCAGAAGCTAGAGCTTAAGGATAACACCAAATGCAATCAGTTTTGTGATAAAGTCAATCAAAAGCATAGCTATATTGGTACTGTAATGTAGCATCAAAGGATACAACATCCCTAAGAAGAAGATGCAGGCATTATCCTTCATTAGGGTCCTCATCGCTGCACTACAGACAGTATCTCTGAAGAGCAGTTTTGGTTCGAGTGTACCTTTGCAACATATTGCCTTATCTCACATGGATATAGTTCAGTGTTTCAAGTACAAAACTCATTTGGACTGCAGGCTGGGGAGTGTCTGACTAATATTTGGCTAAAGTAACTTCTCCTAACACTTGCTGAAACTGAACCTTCTTACACTGCTATTTTAACCTTTCCAAAGTCAATAGTCTGGATGTGAGTGGGCACAACCAGGAAAAGGAAGCTGCAATTCACATTTCCCCGAGCAGCCATACTCATTCTCAACTTTGCTACCTTTTTGCACCAGTATAAAACAAAAGATGCTGATGCAAAGTGATTGTGCTGTGTCTTACAGCTGTGACTCCCAAACGGTCATCCTGAACTCGCCACTGAGGTGGGAGCTGCTGCTCCCAACGGTGATGCCACCACTCTTCCAACTACTGAGGATGGTGCACAAAAGAAAAAAAAAAAAGGATGGTTTACACAATTGTATAGATCTGGGCCATTTCCTAACATGTCAGGATATATATTGTATCTTTTTTATATTAAATACTCTATGTTTGATCCAAACAGAACCAACGTTTTTTGTGACATTCACCAAATGCCTAATCGCTGATTCTAAATATCAGAAATTGAGTTTAGTTAAAACTTCAAGTTCTTTTATTTTGGTTCAGCCCTTCGTAGGACTTTGCCAGTTTAGCCAACCGAAAATTTAACCTAGATTGTTTAGCAGAATATCTTGTCATTAGACAGCCTAAACAAAAGCTTTAGCAGCAGCTCCATTCCCAGAGCTGGAGAGTGCCAACTCTCCTATCCTCCTTTCACATCTTCCTTCTTATGCACATCCCATTCTCAATGTGAAGGGGTATTTCTGGCAGATTCTGCAGCTTAGTTGACCACCTCTTCAAAAGTATACCTACTAAACCCAGAATTAACAGCTCAGTGATTGAAATTGCTCCGCTGTTGCATTTTTGTGGTATACACTGATATTTCAAACTTCTTTTCCAGCTTTCCTGGGTGCATGTTTCAGCTTCCTAATGCAAATTCACAGAAAAAAAGTAGTTTGAAAGTTCTGTTCTATGTTTACAGTGAGACTGGGAAAGGGTTTCATTTTGAGAGAAGAAAAATACTAATTCTCACCACTAACATGGGGTAAACAGTAAGATGCACAACATGCAGATACACAGCAGGCCAGAGTTTCAACATTAGAAGGTACCATCTTTTTCGATGAAATGTACTCAGTCCCTATGAAAACTACTTTCTTAAAACCCCTCTCTGATCTTTTTTTTGCTCAGGACAATGGCATGATCAGCTGCGACTCAAATTTACATGAAAAGAGGATGCAAGAGAAGAGAGAATATTTAACGAATAATGAGTTGAGATCGGTAAGTCCATTTTTCTCCTGATTCCCACAACTTAAGCAACAACAGAGACACTGTCTTGATTTTTGCTATGTAAATTTTTTCCCAATCTTTCATCAAAAGTTATTGATCAAAATACAGATTCCTAACACTCTGGATATTTCCTTTCTGTCACAATGTGTGCATACATACAGAGTGACCCAATGAGACCTCTATGACTTCAATGCAGAGAGGATTTCATCCTCAAACAGTAATTGTGAAACAACTGTATCATGCCTGATTATATGTATCTTGCTACATGTATCACCAGGATATATTCAAATATTGAAGTCGGAAAATATAAAGTGAACGCCCTAAAGAATTAAGCATTATTAAGGGACAAAACAGTGTTTACTCAGTTAAAAATGAGATGCAAGGTATGACTTTAACATTGATTGTGTTCCAAGAGAAAATTGAATGGGTTTGGGCCGCATTATTTTTGGACTACGTTTTCGTAACACTTGAGAAGTATGTTTTGATGAACAAAATAAACGTAAAGCAGTCCTGGGAACTCTTTAATTACATAAACTGAAATAAAAGGCAAAATCACAAACAAAGACATGATAGATTAATCCTCTCTTGGCATCTATAAAGCAAAAAAAGTACTGCAAAGTAAGCCAATATGTTTTCTGAAGTAATTAGACTCTTTTACAGGGTTTATGTTAGCCCTTAATCATACCTGCTTCTCCTTGTATTTCTCGAAAGGTATAGTTGAGTGAGAATACTTAAAATAATAAATGCAAAGAAAAACAGAGCAGAGAGCATGGGTAAGAGATTTCAAAAGCAAAGCGGATATGGAGTAAACAGTCTAGAAGTCAAGACAAAAAAAGTTCAACTTCACTCTGTGTTTCCATAGTATTTTCTGACTATGGCTTTAACTACTATACTAGATTGCATAACTGCCTGTCTTAACAGGGGGTTGGACTAGATGACCTTTAAAGGTCCCTTCCAACCCAAACTATTCTGTGATTCCATGATTAACATCTCTATTACTCCAATCTCACCTCTTGATTTTCTTAATTGGGATACTCTTCTGCGTGCTTTACATTTTCAAAACTGGACTCTAAAAGCAACCTCTCTTCTAGTCTCTGTCCCTATCGCTATCTGGAGAAGTACACTTGTCACTTACACCAGAAATCTTGTTTCATCTTCTCTTTCATTCCATTCCTTTAATTGTGCCCTAATTTCATTTTTCATCCTCCTTGACATTCGAAATAGCCATCCTTTAGCTCTACAGTAAATGCTTCTAACTAATTCTTTACTCTTTATTCCGATTATTACCATAACCTTCCCCCTTCTCTGATTTTTAGTTTTATTTATACATGTTTTGTTAACATCAGCCTAAATATGATGTGCATTCCCCAACAGTTTA